ATATATTGTGTCTGACAATCTTAAAATTACTTAAAATAAGAAGGAAGTGTTTAACTTTGTCTTTGACACACAATAAAGTTAGTAGGAAATTTAATGACTATTAAAATCATTAATCAACAAAGGAAAGCAAGCTAAATATTAACTTTCCAACGGAAAAAGAGACTAATCATTAAAGTAAACTATGCAGTCATTAGTTATAAAATCAATTTAACAAAGGATAACTAGCAAAAAAAAATAAACTAACAATTAATAATTAGCAAAAAAACTAATTAGTAAGAAATCACAAAAAAAATAATAATTAATGTAAAAAAAAACGAGCAGTTAATAACTATAGAAAACAAGCTAACAATTAATAACTAGCAAAAAAGATAAATAACTGTTACTAACTCATAAAAAATTAGTCGAAAGAAATAATTAATCCCTTAATAAACGTGCTTTTGTTGTACATATTATTTTATTCCACGTTCAAAATTATTATCACAGACCATTTAACAGACTATTATTGGTAAGTAAACAACTTTTAAACTATTTTTTTTTCATTGTGTGCCGTCAAATTTTGAAATCGTTATAAGTGTGCCGTCACAAAAAAAAAGGTTGAGAATCACTGCTCTATACAGCCTTATTGTTTTGACTTGACTGTTTGCACTTCTTTACGTTGGTGTATGAATAGATTAAATAAATTGAATAAATGAGACGAGGTATTACATAAATATAGAATATCTATTATATTACATTAGTATAAAATAATCAAATGATTAGAAGCAGTGTACTTTTTCAATAATGACATGATTTGCACGAGTTTATAGGCAATACTTTTATCTTTGGACATACATGGGTTTTTAATCTTTATAGACTTCCTTATTTGTATTTATTTTTAACGCATTGCATTACAATGTTCATCCATTGAAACGGGAGCTTAAACAAATTGCAAACCGGTTTCATAAAAACAATAAAGCTGTATAGTATATATATTGATCTGTGGTGAACCACCTTCTCACCAGATGGCGATGAACTTTGCTCGCCAGGTGGCAGTACGAAACTTTCCCCTCAAGGAAATGAAAATTCTATAAGATGGCAACATCTCTGAGTTAAAACCTTAGTTTCAAGAAATGGCAACAGGTCAATTGTCTAACATTCATTCCATCTTGCCGACTGATAAACTTACACCATTTTTGAAATGCTGCTGTCGCTAATCCTATTCGTCTTTCTACTTGTAACTTAATATAATTTCTTTTATGTTTTATTATTATTAAACTGTGTTGATAGTTAATTTTTATTGAATTAATTTATTTAATATATTTAACCTAATCACCACAGATCATTAAGATTTTACATAAAATCTTAAAGTGCGTCTAATCATTTGGATAGAGATTGTAGATCGTCATTCGGAAATTCAAACCAAGAGAGCCTTTTATTAAAGAAGTCCAAAAAAGAAGGAAAGAAAGAGATAAAAGAAATGTAATAAGAAAGAAAGTAATAAACCCTGAGCCACCACGACTTCTATAATGATAATCTTCCAGGTTAAATAATTTTTGACTTCCTTTATTTTGAAAAATTAAATTTTTTTTTAATATTTTGCAGCCCGGTGCAAGACCCTTCCCACAAGACCCCGCCACGGCATGGTGATTGCCCCCAAAACTGACCACGGCATGAAAGCTCTGTTTCGCTGTAAAGATGGTTACAAGTTGACGGGCCCAAACCTAACCGAGTGCAGTTTCGGACTGTGGACCGGCAGCACACCAGTTTGCAACGAAAGTAAGTCTTTTTCAATCAATGTTTATCATTAACCGGTTACAGAAGAAGATTTTGTTTATTGAGTTAAAATAAAAACAGAGTGTGATAAAAAATATGGGATGGACTGATTGTTTAGGCACAGATTGTGGACTGATTGTTTAGGTCCCTCAGTGGACTGATTGTTTAGACACAGTTCCCAGCAGATCACCGAAGTCAAGCATCACTGGCTGTGGTCAGTGTGCGGGTGGGTGACCACTTGACTCAGGAACCAAGGATGTACGGTATGGGTCCTTATTAAACTGTTCTACCATAAAGCGCTCGACTTGGCGTGCAGGTGCAGTCGGGCTACCGAAGCGAGATTTGCCATCCCCTCTCCAGAGGATCAAAATTGCGATGGCATATCTTCGGATCATCCTCATGGATGTTTCCCAGACCATCGACAATAGCCCATCGTGCAGCTCTAGTGCGACGTAAATGAACTACAGCAACAATTAGTCATAATGTCGTACCATTTTATCGAGTTTTATTGATTAACAAAACCCATCAGTAAATTCTCGGTTTTTGATTGTGCGTGTAAAACTTCATGTGCTTCAATTAATATAAGGGTATGCTTCATTCTCTCTAAACTAGGCGATGGAGACTCGCTGGACGTTAGGAAAGCAAAAAACCCAAAGTTATCTACAAGAAAAAANATCGTGCGGCTCTAGTGCGACGTAAATGAACTACAGCAACAATTAGTCATAATGTCGTACCATTTTATCGAGTTTTATTGATTAACAAAACCCATCAGTAAATTCTCGGTTTTTGATTGTGCGTGTAAAACTTCATGTGCTTCAATTAATATAAGGGTATGCTTCATTCTCTCTAAACTAGGCGATGGAGACTCGCTGGACGTTAGGAAAGCAAAAGTGATTTGAAGCAAAAAACCCAAAGTTATCGACAAGAAAAAAAAAACAATAAAATAAGGGTAAAAAAACAAAACTAGAAACCCTGCCACAATTGAACGTGAAATAGAAAACTTAAAGTTGCCAACGAAAAACATAAAAAAACTGTGGTGGCCAGGCAAATCAGTGCAGGATGTGTGCTGCCCTGATTCAAAACAGGCCAACTTTTTGCACCTTCATACTTTTTGAAATAAATGAAATCTTTACTCATAATTATCAAGTTCTGCTTCAGTTTATTCGGATTATTCATTGAATCAAAACGAGTGTTGGAAATACATTGTGTCGAAAATAAATTGAAACAGTAAGATTCACCTCTCTAAGAAAGTATTACGAAGTCTGCATATTTTGTTTTTAAGTTTTAATATCTTTTCACGAGTTATTCAAATAAGCTGTAATATTCTACCATAAACTATGATAAATCAAATTAATATAATTCTTTTTGTACGTCACTTCACTGGTTAATGGTTACATTATTAAATTCAATTTCTGAATTAAAACTCAAGCAACTTTTTACTTATAAATGATCAAATTTGGCTACCTGTCCGGGAATGAATGGTGGTCGCAAGCAATTAGTGAGATGAAATGGTGGAATATAAAATAACAGTAATTGGATGAAGTTCCCTTTTTGATAGATTTATGATCGATGCACTTATAGTCGTTGCCTCAATGGTTGACTTGACTTTATTATTTATAAAACATAATTGGAAGATATGATTTGGATAGAAATTTAGATATAATTTGAATAATAATATAAATTGAAAAATTTATTCTATTTATCTGTTGCGGTCATTGTGTCGAACACGTGTTGCACTATGGAGTAACAAACAATGGAACTATTTTTACAGTATCCTTTAACCTAAGACGACAACGAAAAATGTGCGTGTCTGTCATACAATACTTCGTTTACAACGTTCTCTAACATAATGAGCTTGTAAACAAAGTTAAATAATGTATCAAGAGAATCATTTAAAGAAGTCCAAAAAAGAAAGAAAGAGATTTAACAAGTGATAATCAAACAATATTGGTTTTGATTTTCACTCGAGATTAATTAACAAGTGATATTCAAACGATATTCGTTGCCAGTTATCTTCTTCCTTAATTGGGTATAATATGAAAAAAACACAACTACTTCGATTTAGTAGGAACAACATATGACGCAATGCTAAACGAATGGAATTTAGTTGTTGTTTATTTTGTACACAGAAACTTCTTGGGTTATAACGTGTTTTAGTTGTTGTTGTTTATTTAGTTGTATTTAGTTTCAATAACTTTTCTTTATAATGCAATAAAATCTGGCGAGCAGCTATTTAAACGATCGAACACTTCGTTTGTTTATTTGTGGCTTGAAGTTAGGCTCGCAGAAAATGCCGTTCATGGGTTAAATTTAGTAGGAACAACACAACCTGTGACGTAGGCTATATTATACCCAATTAAGGCGGGATGTAGAAAAAACGCAAAATTATTTTTAAGTATTTGGGATCACACCAAACGCACTGGTTTCTATTCTTTTTAATCATTTAAATGTCTCTTACTCATAAGGGCTCTGATGAAGCTGACTTTGAACATCTTAGAGGTTCGATTCTTAATGAGGTTTCAGAATTTAATCAACGGTTTGAGGGGAACTTCTTGAACCCAATATTTCTTAAACCATGGACTCCTTTTTATTGTCAAACACTTGCCAACGGATCCCCAAGTAAAAAAACTACGTAAATGCGTAGTATAAAAATTACAAATTCAAAAAAAAAAAAAAAATTCAAATGACAACTAATGAATTTTTTTTGAGGAACTATTTATTGAAATAAATAATGAGTGGATGAACGTGATGAGATTTTATGAGTGTATTTATGTAAATATGTAAAATATGAGTGTATTTATGTAAAATAAAATATAAATGTTTCACCTTCAAATCTCAATGTACAGTCTCTGGCCAAATTATTAGACGCATTATTAGATTCTATGTAAAATCTTCATTATATCACGTGATACAGCTTTTTTCTTTTTACGTCACTGTTTGCACTTAGTGTATCCATGGGTTAAATTCAACGATTGAATAAATTAGACGATGTATTATATAAACATAGATTATTTATTATATCAGATATTATATTAGTACTAGTGGGCCGCGCCCCCTGCTCGCTAACTCTCTCCAACCCCCGAAAATTGCTACGCAATCTTATATGGTTTGCTTCGCACGCTACTAACTTGGGTACATTGCAAATGCACAAAATTCTAAGAATTCAAAACAATCATTCAAATCCATATAACAATTTTTTTAAAAAAAAAATTGCATCTTTTTAGTAAATACTAAGTCATTAAAATAAATTTGAATTCAAATAAATGACATGTAATTCGTTAAACCTATTAGAAATGTGCTATAGTATAAAATCTTAAGATAAAATTTCTAAAACTGATATCTCTTTAAAAAGGTTAAAATTTTGGCTATAATTAAGTCTATTAAAAATTGAAATAAGTGAATTGCAATGGAAAAACCTGCATAAACAAATAAATTCTAGTAAAACAAATAAATTCGTGATATAAATCAAAAATCGTCAAATAAATTCGTAATATATAAATTCGTGAAAAAAAGCGCTTTCGACAAAATACTAAAATAGAGATCTATCGACAAAGACTACTCACTTCTGCCTAGCTTAATAGTATGAGATTGCCGCAGCTGATGCTCTCTGGTTATTTCAGTTTCCGTTTTTAAAAGCGCTATATGTTGAGCCACCTCATCTAGATTTGGCATGTGACATGCGGCAATCATGGGTCGATTTTTCTAGCGTTGCCATTCGGGGAGTTGTAATGAGACTTTTTTTTTGTCGCCGTGTAAGAGAAATATATATATGGATATTATAATAATTAGACCAAATGATTAGACGTCTTGTAGTATTTTAATAATGACATGTTTTGAACGAGTTTAAAGGCAATACTTTTATATACATGCAATGGGTTTTTATTCGAAAGATTTTTTATGTACTTCCTATTTGTAATTATTTTTAACGTATTGCATTACAATGTTAACCCATTGATACACTAACGTAAACAAGTATAAACTGGTTTCAGTCTCGTAAAAACAGTAAAGTTGTATAGTATCACCTGTATAATTAAAATTTTACATAGAATCTTATAATGCGTTTAATAATATGGCCAGAGACTGTACATCCATTAGAATCCAGATGTTTCGGCCCATGAAACGCCTTAAAAGCATAGAAATGTAAAATTGCAAAAAATATAAACGAATATATTGGCCTTCAATATTTTAACCGTTAAAAGACCTTAAGACTCGTTCCCCTCATAGATTGAGTTATAAATTCATTGTTTTTCGGATATATAAAGAGTCCTCGAAGGAAACAACAACAAAAAAATGATTTCGTTTGTGAAAGTGGAAATCTTTTTGGGGGACTAATTGTTTTGAGTGCCCTCTGAGAATTAGAAGAAGAGTATCACCATTAACATTATTAACATCGATTGTGTTGTCGGTTGGGTGGAAATCGAATTCTTTCCCTCCGTTTTCTATCTTTCAATTAAAAGATGTTATTCAAAAACAACATACGAACACGCGAGAATGTCTAAAATAGTGTTTTGAAGTAAAGGCCATTAGTGTTAGCGCTATGAATACCGTTTAATGGGAAATAATGTTTGTTCTAAAATGCCTCACTCGTTCAGTTGAAAGAATACAAAATGGAAGAGACACTTTCAGTTTTGTTGAACATTTACTTTAAATTTCATTAGGAATAATTAGATTATTCTTTTATAACTTGTTTATTCGTGCAATGGCTCATACTTATCAATGAATTTCAAAGCTTTCGGAGGTTTTCAGGGATATATGAAGAACGAAAAAGCGTATTTTTCAACATCTTAGGCCAGAAAATAGAGCATTAAGCTTATAACTCGCATCGATTGCTTCGGTTGTTATTTGCAATAATTGGGTATAATATGAAAAAAACACAACTACTTCGATTTAGTAGGAACAACATATGACGCAATGCTAAACGAATGGAATTTAGTTGTTGTTTATTTAGTTATTGTTATTAGTAGTTGTTGTTACTTGTTTTAGTTGTTGTTGTTTATTTAGTTGTATTTAGTTTCAATAACTCTTCTTTATAATGCAATAAAATCTGGCGAGCAGCTATTTAAACGATCGAACACTTCGTTTGTTTATTTGTGGCTTGAAGTTAGGCTCGCAGAAAATGCCGTTCATGGGTTAAATTTAGTAGGAACAACACAACCTGTGACGTAGGCTATATTATACCCATTTGTATGGAATTTCGTTGGCTAGCTTAAATATTTAAGAAAATATGAACATTTCTATTACAGAAAACTAATTTGTCTTAAATTTTTTTGTTGCTATAACTTTAAAAATATTCAATAAAAATGCAAAAAATTTATGTCAGCCATTTTTAATCAATAACAAAATCATTTTAAAAATTAAAAAAAAAAATCGGTAAAAATTGCGCAAGAACGATCATTGAGTTGTATTTTTGGAGACATTTTAATAAGAAATGACTCCTAATGTTGCTGTGAATTAACTCATGGCTTGTTGCAGTTACCAGAATAAAAGAGCCTTTTATCTTAACTGCTAAATAAATAACATAAATGTAGCGCAGAAAAAATATTGCGAAACAAAACAGAAATATAAAATTTTATTGCTAAATTTAATGAAAAAATCTCACCTTGTCAGAAAAAAACATAAGAAGAACTCCAACTAAAAGAAGGAAAAAATGTTCTGCTAATTCTTTCAAAAAACAAGGAGAAAAACGTGAACCACCAATACAATATGTCTTTTTTTAATTTTGTGCTTTTGCCTACCTGGTTAAATATGTCTCGTCAATCTTCAACAGCAATTTAAATTCTGTTCGTTGAGAATAATCGTCTGCTACTATGTCAATCTTCAACATGGCTAAAGAGAGTCTGTTTTAAGTCAGTGATGTCATGATCAAATTTTCGCTTAATTTGTTTCGCATGTAACTATCATTCTTTTTTTTCCATTTCTATGCATTCATTGTTTTCAATATTTTTTTAGAGGTAATTTTCTTCCCATCCGATATCAAAAATGTAACAGTAGTAGTCAAATATCAACGTGATAGCAACCGACAAGAATTATTCACAAAATGAACCCTGGAACAAACTACTAGCAATTTTAACTGCGCTTTTTAATTTATATATGAAAGCTCGATTCAATGCTAACCTGAAATAAAGGGGTTTTTTTTAGTTGTTCCATGTCACAGTTTTTACAACGGACATGATTTTGGTGATGTTTAAACACGTTTTATGACCTTTCAAGAACCTCTTCACCGCACATTCCGACAGAATACGTACTACAGCCATATCACGTCCACGTGAGTCACAAGCGTGAAGGGAGAATCTCAAGTTTTGTTCGACAGAAGAGAGCTATTATATTTTATTTTAAATTTTAGGTGGTTTAGGTGTGGGTTTACGACTACTAATGTTCAACTCCGTGTCATTTTGAACCCAATCCAGAGGACAAGGAAACTCCTGGATCAAGTATTGGGAGACATTTGCGTACGTGGAGGTATTTTCGATGGAACTAACCCGTATTTGCGTTACAGGGAGAAAAAAAAACCACGAAGACCTCCCACAATTAGCCTGATGGCACGGGGACTCTAACCCATGATCCGTCAACCACTGAGAATATTCTACGTCAACACTGTGGTCGTTGCGAGCCGGGTGCGGAATTCGAGTTAACCAGCCATCTCCGGGATTCAAACCCGATTCACCTCTATGGGAGGCGAATGCTCTATCCCCATACCCATCACGACTCTAGAGAGCTATTATAGAACTATTCTTATCATGTAGACGTTTAATATAGATTATCTATAAAACCCCACTAATTTTGCATTGTTTGTTGAACCAGCTTAAATTATTTGTAATTAAACGCGTTCGTGTGATATTTGAAATCAAAATTATCTATAAAAAGAAAGATCAAAAAGCATTATTAAAACGACAGATGAAACCATTTCTTTGGTTATCGTCGAATGAAACATTAATGATGGTCATTCAGCTCAGAGAATATTTATGAGATACCTTTTAAATATTCTATAGCTTGAGAGAGATACTAAATGAATGAATTTTATGGCATCCCCTTTCCACCATAAAATTCAATACGATGAGATTAAAATTTAATTCTTAGTAGAAAATAATGACTCATTTTTACTCGAATGTTAACCTTTTAAAAATGATTGCTATGGGTTACGGAGAAAGGAGGCCAAACTTGACATAAACTGAAACAAAATCATTTTCTTTCCCTAGCATCATAAGCCTATTTTCAACTTTGAATGATGTATTTAAGTACAGTTGCATTTATAGAATGAGGTTTACATTTATAATGTAGAATTGAATAAGGTTAACATTAATGGAAGGATAATGTTTACAATTAGAGAGAATAAGGTTTACATTTATAGAAAATATATAATAAGGTTCAGTTTACATTTGTGGAATAAATAGATTAAGGTTTAACATTTATAGAATGTTTACAATAAGGTTCTTGATATCCATTCAAATAATAATGAAGTTTTTTGCAAATTAATAAAAATAAATTATTTATTCGGGCTTTAATTCAAGTAATAAAATTGTAATAATACTCTTTTTATAGTGAATTAGCGTAAGTGGAAAAAAACTTTTCTGCGTGCAAAGTCTGATGGAACATATTTTGAATATTTTTTGTCCTTTTAAATCTGAATGAAATGCTCTGCCATTTTTTTTCATTTTGATACTTTGAATATAAATGACTTCATGATAAAAATGTGAAACTCTCTCCTTTCACTAAAGTATATGAATTCAACTAAATGTATTTCACTTAGATAAATTCATGAAATTTAAGACAATTATTATTATTTTTTTTAAAGTGCCCATAATGTTCCCAACTATCAAATATTAATTTCTACCCTGATACAAAATGACTAAAATGGTATTTTTATGCGACACAGTTTAGGGACGTTCATGTCAAACAATCCCTTGTTTTTGCTTTAATCTAATTTTAGAATTAAGTTCAAATAAAAGGCTTAATTTCGCTAAAAAAAATTACGTTCATTTTATTAACATTTTGAGTGGAATTTTCTTCAGAATTCTTTTGGGAATTTTTTTTCTATATTCAATCCTTGTGACCTCTGGAATTTTTTTAAAGCACCAAATTACAAAGTTTTCTTCACTCAAAATAAAAGTATTCAAAATCAATTCATATTTTAATATTAAAAATAATATTATGAATTCAAAATTAATAAAGTAATATCTGAACTTATTATTTTATTCATTTTGAATGATTTGCAATTCGAATTTTAACAAATCTTTCAAGTCAGAACTGACTTCTTTATCTCTAAACCAAAAGTAACTGTCATTTTTTATTCCATTCTCCCAGCATACTGCCCCTTCCCTGGAGTGATTGAGAATGGCCGTATTCTACTGGTCGGTCACATGGGGATGTACGACTACAGGCCGTATGTGCGTAAGATTACGAACAACAGACAGATCATGTACGAGTGTGATCGGCACTACACGTTGAACGAGGGACCACCGGGGGCCACCTGCGTTGATGGAAAGTGGAGTCCGACGGAGAAGCCGAAGTGCGTCAGGGGTTCACACCCCCAGGTCCGGTGGGATCGTTCTGTGAGGGAGAAGAGAGAGATGCCACCTCAGAACAGGATTAAAAGAAAGAAAAGAAAACATAAAGGTACGAATATAGTTTGTCCAAGGTAAGAACTCCCCCCGCCACAAAGTATGCTGCTGTGGAAACAAGAATAGCGCATTTAAGGGAAGGTAGCTTCTCTTGCTTTCTAGAGCTTACACAATAGACCGAAGACTTTCTCTCGTCGACCCCACACCCCTTCTTGAAATAGTTGCACCTCGTTACCATAGCCACCGCCACGAGGCTAGACGAATGGCTAGGGGAGTTCTTACTTTAGACGAACTATACCCTTCTTTCTACTCCCCCTCTTCCATTGTCATTTGAGAGGACATCGAATTCTCTTTCACCAGTTCCATGCCATTAAACATTTGAAACTTGATGGTTCACTTAATCTGAACTCATTTTTTTTTGAACTTGTGGAGAATGAACCGCTTCCTTGATTATCCCGAGATAACTCGGGTACGTATATATAGCAACAATTTATCATCCCGAGAAAACTCGGACTTGGCAGAATGCGTCATTACATTTTGATTTATCCCGTTTTGAAGCCGAAAACATAATCTGCCGGAAGTTTGGCAAGTTTTATATGGGAGTTTTGATGTTGAACTGCACACGCGTTTTTGGGCGATACGATGGTTGCTGAATGGACATAGCAATAAAAGTTTTAAAAAAATTCCTTGACTGACATTTGAAAATGAACACTTTGTGTTGTCCCTTGGCTTAAGAACACTCCTACAAAGACTCCTATTTAACTTTACTCAATTAGCCCCGAAATAACTCGGGATTTTAAATGAAAGGTTTCTTACACGACTTTGAACTTGTGTTTATAAACATGTTATTATTAAAAAGAGCATCTGCTTAGCTAGTAGCAAAGAAATATCGTTATGAACTATTTGAAGCAACAAAATGTGGAGAGATTAAATGCACTCTTAACTATATAAATATGTGATAAAGGACGGGGATAATAAATGTAGGGAGGGAATTGTCTTCATTCAGAGATAATGATCTAGTTGTCTGTGTGTTTCAGGTGACTGCAAACCAGTGATGTCGACACCCTGGATGGAAGTTCGGTTAGTGAAGGGTTCCAGCGAGAGTTCGAGGGGGAGCATCATCCAGGTGATGTGCGGTTGGGGATATACCCTCAACATCGACAACAGGACAGCCCGGTGCGTGGGAGGAAGGTGGAAACCCAAGAAGCCGGAGTGTATCACGAGTACGTAAATTGCGTACGTGTCGCCACACTGTATGTTGTGAATATTCTCAAATATATATGTTCTCAGAGCAAACGACACTATACAATAAGAAGAACGAAAGATTGGAAGAAAAGTTAGAATGATACAGGCAAGAAAAAAGTGGTACAGTCCATCATTATTAGACTCACTCTATGATTCCATGTCTAATTATAAATATCAGGTGATACAGCTGCATTGTTTTCATTCGGGTGATACCAGTTTACACTTTCTCACGCTCCTCTATCCATCGGTTAAATGAGACGATGTATTATATAAATATAGACTATTTATTATATAAGTATATTATAATAATGAGATCCAATGATGAGAGACACTGTATAATGACATGCTTTGTACGAGTTTATAGGCAATACTTTTATATTTAAACATGGGTTTTTATTCAAGAGATTTTTTATAGACTTCCTTATGTGTAGGAGAGAGTGGGGTCAATTGTAACATTTTTTACTTAACTATTTTTAGCTAGCAAGAAATCCAATATATTATTAGTATTAATTGACAGACGAGTAAAGTAGACTATCCTCTACTAGAAAAAAAAATAATTACCTGATTTTAAATGTTATTATATTAGTTATTAACAATTTTTGACAGTCGTGCACTTGTTACAACTGTCCCCACTTACAGGGTCAATTGTAACAGTTCATAAATTCAACTAATACATAGTTAATTAGAAATGATATAGGAAACTATTGGTGATTCTTAAGGAATTAAGTAATGGTTTGTAAACATTAGATTATTTATTTTCAGCTGTTACAATCGTCCCTTTACTTATTGTTACAATCGTCCCTAGACGCCATATCAGCTTCATTTGTTAAAAACAATTTTAGTTAATTAACAAAACTATTTCTTTTTATTGAAATGTTAATTAAGGTGTCCACTTACATATTCGGTTAATAATTTTTATTTGTTTAAACGAAATTACTTTGTTACAATATAATATTCTAATACCGAAAAAAGTACTTGCGTAGCGTGAAAATATCTTTTGTGATGTAACTCTTTCAAAAGTACATAAAAATGGTCGCCATCAGGGGTGAACATGTAGATTCAATAAATACACCTTGTGAGCCACCTAGGAAACCCGACACTCGAAATTTTAGCTCTGTTACAATCGTACCCTGTTACAATTGACCCCACTCTCCCCTATTTATTTTTAGCATATTGTTGATGACAATGTTAAATCAATGGATACAGGAGCTTAAACAAATGCAAATCATCCGACAATGCAGCTGTATAGCACCTGATAATTATAATTTTATATGGAATCATAGAGCGAGTCTAAAAAAATAGGGGCCAGGCACTCTACATTTTTAAAAAAAATTAAAACGAAGAGAATCTGGAGCCGTGAAACTCGTAATCTTTTCTTTATGGGTATCAAGTTTTTCTCCTTTTGGGAAAAAGTATGACTGAATAAATTTCTAACGATATTTAAACAACATAGAGTTTATTATATTAATTATTTACAAATTGTGCTAGACAAAGCTTCATTTAATTTTTACAACAACAATCTCTGCCCGACTGAGTTGGAGTCGAATTTTTGAAGATAATGCTGCTCCGTAAATTCACCGTAAGCAATAACTAAAATAAAGAATCATCATCATAGTTGGCCAGACAGCCCCATGTGGGCCAATGCCGTCCTCTGAAGATTTTTCCATAATGACTTCCGATTTATCTTTGATCTCCAATTTTCATTCATTGCAAGAAAAATCAGACTCCACCGAGTCAGCCCATCTCAACGGCGGCCTTCCCAGCTTTCCTGTTCCAGTGGGTTTATAAAGCAGCATCTTTTTTTTTATTCTATTGTCATCACTCGTTCGAATCACATGGGACATCCAATTCATTCTATTTATTTTTATGTACTTAATAATATTAGGTTTATAAATCTCGTACAGCTCAAAATTAAATCTCCTTCTCCAGTTATTGTTTGCAATATAAATATTCAAAATAAAAAATAGGGTCTTGTTTTTTGTTATCAAATTAAAACTGTTTTTTAAATGAAAATTCTTTTTGTTTTATCTTTAATTTTTATTTATTCTAGTTTTTATTTATTTATTTATTTAATCCTAGAAATGTTGTTTTTTTCTAAGTTGAGGTGGAAAATATTCCACAGATGATGTGATCATCTGTAGCAAGGATTTTTTTTGTTCAGTGATTTGTGTCGCGCACTAGACAGCGTGACCGAATGAGACAAAGTTCCAAAAATGATATCGACTGTTTTCGTTTCAGCTCCCTGCCGAGTGCCTTTTACCCAGTACGGGATGTACCACCATTACAACAGGCTGGTGAGTCCTAAGAGTCTGATGGAGCACAGCGAGGTGATCACCTTGTCTTGCGATCAAGGCTATCAGCTGATGGGTCCCGAAGCACTGCGATGTTGGTATGGCGAATGGGCGGTCAACAAGATGCCGAAGTGCTTGCCTGGTTTGTGATCATTTACCTATCTATCATAGGCATGTCTAAGCACTATCAGTTACTGGTAGCCAATGATTGATTCATATGTTTGCAATCCTTATGGCTATTACAGCTATTGGTGAACCATCTGAACAAAACACTGTTATCTTTGTCGATTCTCAGGCTGCGATTCAGACCATTTCTGAATATAATTTAACTTGAATTTAAGTGTAAACAACGCTCTCTTCTGGAAGAGAGGTAGTCCTCCACTGGATCCCTTGGCCATTGTGGCTTTTACGGAAATGAACGGGCTGACATGTTGGCTAGAGAGGCATTTCATCCACCTTCTCATCCAGTTCCTCTTAGAAATTCAAAGCGACTCTTTAGGGACAAATTCAGACACAGAACAATATCTGCTCTTAGGGACTTAGCGGATGGAAAATCTTGGGCCAGCCTTCTTGATGACCAGCAGCGCTTTCCCTCCTTCCCAGGGCCGAGGGAGTTGCTTGCCTTAGAATAATTACTGAACATGACTATTTGCAGGCCCATCTATTAAAAATTAACCTTATCAATTCACCTTTTTGTGTGCTCTGTAACACTCCGCCTATAACTGGGGAGCATCTATTTGATTGCCTCTCTCTTCTTGACATTCGTAGTTGTGACTACTTTCGTGCCCTCACACCTTCTGCTTCACTATTGTATTGGACTGCAAGACACCTTATGTCTGAGAAGATGATGGCTGGCGTAATTTTAAAAAAAATGATTGGTTCATTTAAATATTGGTTACCGTTAACAACCACATTATTGATTGAATGATAAGTCAACTTGGGCATCTCTATTGCTATTTTACTGAACTTAAAATATTTGCTTGGATATCATGGCATCATCCTGTATCTGGGTCGGGATAGCCTGGTGGGTAGGACACTGGGCCTGTGTCCAAGAGATCGTGGGTTCGATCCTCGCCGGCCGAAAACTCTCCATGTAGTAAATGGTGACTGATGCACGTTAAATCTGTCGATTAGGAAGATCCTCCTTGTTCCCATAACAAATCAATAACTCTGGGGGTACTCTGATCCAGGAGTTTCCTTGTCTTCTGGATTGGGTTCAAAATGACAAGGCTACGGAGTTGAACATGAGCAGTCGTAAAAGCGAAAGATTGGCTCGGCTGTTCAACGACGGTTTGAAAAAACAAAATAAAATCACCCTGTATCTAATGAAAGGTTTACAACGATAGATGGATATGCCACCTGTCTTTCCAACAATGAAACTTTCAATTCTTAGTTGTTCTGCAGTGGACGGATCATTAGATCACCGAAGTCAAGCATCACTGGCTGCGGTCAGTGTGCCGATGGGTGACCACTTAGATCAGTCTGCGTAGGGACCGAGGGTGTGTGGTTAAACTGTTCTACCTTAAAGTGCTCGACTTCGCGTGAAGGGCGTCGGGCTATTGAAGCGGGGGTGCCATTCCCTCTGCAAAGGATCGAAATGGTGATGGCACGTCTTCGGATCATCCTCAGGGATGTTTCCCAGACCGTCGCCAATAGCCCATTGTGCAGGTCTAGTGTGACGTAAATGAACCACAACATCCAATTCCTAGTTGGCAGGAATGAGTCATTAAAACTAATTCCTTTTTAATCACGTTGGACCATCTGTCCGAATTCCTACATTTGGGTGATGGCCACTAATGTTGATTACCACTGAAATTGGATGGTGCATGACTGACCCACCTGATGATCATGATTACGTTGGTCAGGTTAAAGGAGAACCGTCAAAAATGTTGACTTTGCTATGGATGATAAATACTGTTGACAACGGTCGGGGATAGGATTGAAATTTAGAATTCTATGGTTGAAATTTTGACTGCAAGATTCTATTTTATTTTATAACCGTCGTTGACATGTCGACCCAATTTTGGGTTTAAGACTATTAATGTTCAACTCCGTACCCTTGTCCCTCCGGAGATATTGATTTGTTATGGGAACATGGAGGACTTTGTGACTCGATAGATTTAACGTGCATCAGTCGCCATTTTACTACACGAGGAGTCTTCGGCAGGCGGGGAGCGAACCCACGACCTCTTGGACATGGTCGCAGTGCGCTTCCAACCAGGCTATCCCTACCTTGCTAGATTCTATTGACATAAACACGGAAGCAGATTAGTTAAGGATTTCGTAACACGCCCCCTCTGGATATTTAGTGAATATTTAGGAGAAAGGGTTGTGCTGGACGAGAGACCCTTCATCTTAGTTAAATAAAACTTTGTAAAATAAAAAGGGTTCTTTAATTAAAACTAAAAGTATTTATTTAGCTAGCAATAAATATGTTTATAAAAATAGCAATAAAAAAAACTTTTACGAATTTTACTTTCGCGAATTTATTACTAATTTAGCGTTTTAAATAAATGGTACTTCACTTTAACATAAGTTTAACTTAATTTTAAATTTTTTTTAACGAGATGCTGTTTTTAGAAAAAGACATATTAATGTTTATTTTTCATAAGAAATTGCAAAATTAAAATGGAATAAGATAATTTTTTTTCAGTGAATGATTTGAGTGCTCGACTTCGCGTGCAGGTCGTCGGGCTACCGAAGCGGGGGTGCCATCTCCTCTGCAGAGGATCAAAATTGTGATGGCATGTCTTCGGATCATCCTCAAGGATGTTTCCCAGACCGTCGCCAATAGCCCATTATGCAGCTCTAGTGTGACGTAGATGAACAACAACAACAACAATCAATAAATGATTTTAATGCATTTTCATTTGACGAAGAATTAATTATGACTTTTACAACTAAATTTATTTCTGCCGAGTGGAAAGTTTTTTTCCCCGCAATTATTTAGAAGTTAAGAACAATTATTGCGAATTTAAGGGGGTGTTGCATGTTAAGGAAAAATGTCAAACTGTGATAGCCCATTAAATTATAAAGTATAAATCGAGTTAACATTTTTTTTCTTGTTTTTATTAATTTTAAAAATTACTTAAGTTAATTAATTTAATGACGCATGTTATCGGCTCTGCAAATTTTGATTATAAAATTTAGACAAGCAGCACATGAGCAACTGCAACCGTAAATTTTGAGCAAAGAAATACACTTGTGTTCTCCTTATTGTTTAAAAAACAGTGGTTTCTGAAAAACAATGTTTGGAAGACTTTTTGAATGAGGGTCAGCGTCGGTTCATTAATATGAGAAAATATTTTACTGAATACAATATAACGTGCTTAAGTAAAATTGTTGCCTAAGCTGCGTAACTTTTTTATGCATTTATCTAAACACTTCAATCATTTGAAACAATCATTTACTTTTAATTCTCGTTTTTTCCCCATGTTGGAAGCTTGCAGTGTGTGTTATTCCTTTAAAAAATTGAAAGAAAAAAAAAAGATTTCTCTCGATGCAATGCAGTTCTCTAGTAACTTGATGCAGAATAGTTCTCTGAAATATTTTGTGATGCAGTACAGTTCTTTAGATACAATACAACTTTTCTTGACTGTTTTGTTACCAACTTCTCTTAAAGCAGTCCATTTGTTGAGCTATCTAGATAGAATCCCGCAAATCTTGTTCTGCAAATAAGTTTTTATTACATTCGTTTCATTTTTTTTTTATTCTCTCAATTATAATTATTATTTTGAAATTATCTTCCTCAATTCTGAAATGCTAAAATAGCCTCTTCTTTCGCTAAGCAAGTTTCAGATACAGAACTGTACGTATAAAAGTTTTGTACAACAATAGTTTAGTTTTTGTATATCTCTTTATATGCGTTGATCTACATTTATACATTTGTTTCTTCCTTTTTTGACTTCAAGTGTGTTGACTGAATTCATGACAGAACTCGTATAACAAAAGTTTTTATGATGAAAAGTTTTCTTGCATCCACCGCAGTTTTAATATTTTGTTTTTATGGGAGAGCCTATATTTTCTTATTTTTTTAAGTATTGCGTAAAAACATGCCGATAAAAATACTTATAAAATAATAATTTGATTTTAAAATTTTATAAAATGCAATTCCATGTGGTTCTCGTCACTGTCACCGCCCACTTAGCGAGTTAAGGTTTTCAGGCAACCCTGCGATGAATATTCTCTGTCAGGCGAAGAACTTATAGTTTGTCTAGGGTAAAAACTCCCTCCGCCACAAAGTCTGAGGCTGTCTGCTCTTATGGAAACGAGAATAGCTCATTTCAGGGAGGGTAGCTTCTCTTCACTCCAGGGCTAACACGATAGCCACCCTACCCTCAACAGTGAGATCACACCCCTACTTGAAAAAGTTATATCTCGTAACCATGGTCACCGCCACGAGTCCAGGCGAATGGTTGGGGGAGTTCTTACTATAGACAAACTGTACCTCCTTCTTGGGTCGCAGGATAATGTTTAAGTTTGATAATGTTATGTTTGTTATGAATGAAATGCTGATAGAGAAATTAGTATATTCTCTTCTTCACTTTCTAAGAGAGAGTGTCAAGTGAAGTAACCTATACTGTTTTATACATTCTAGCAAAGTAACAAAAAAATTTTCTCTTGTAACATTTTTTAACCCTACAATCCAAATTTTTTTATGGTTTTCCATTGATGGACCCACATAATCTTAATGGTGACCATCCATCATGAACCATTATGTTTTTTGATTGTAACCAACATAAGTAAGATTTATGAGGGTCCAACATAAAAATGCTTTGAGGGTTTGTTCACGTTTAACCATCACAAATTTCTATCATAGTATATTAGAAATTAAATGATGTAATGATGATTGTATTAAGAGTTTTCACTTGAGCATATTAAGAACCTCGTGTAATCCAAAGAGTAAGTCTGAATGTTTTGTTAAAGGTCCTTGTCAACTGGAAGAACTGTCTCATGGAAGGTACCTGGAGGGTTACAGAGCTGGCCTCACCATATCCCATGGTTCTTCCATCCGATACAGTTGTGAGATGGATTATATGAAAAGTATACCGGATCCCGTCCAATGCTTCGAAGGGAAATTGAGACCAGGAGTGCCCAAATGCACAAGACACGAGGAACAAAGTAAGTATATCATCAGATTTTCCTTTTAAACGCTGAAAATGGATTGTATGTTAAAAAAAGATTTATTTTCCATTCTTTAATGAAAGCCATCATACCGACCTTATCAATTCTTACGCATTTCTCAATTTATTTCTCTCATCTAATAATGTGTTGATTAGGAAAATAAATCTGTATTCATTTCCTTCTTTAGAATAAAACCGTTTGATTTTAGTTTTTCCAAGGTTCTATCCACAATCGTGTATATTCTCCTCGCAGAATATCCAAAGGCTTCTTCTCTGTATTTTCCTTTAAGAGAGAAAATCCATTTGTTGACGAAATGTAAGCAATGAATGGAAAGCGTAAATGACGGAAGAATTCTGATGAAGCAGATTTTCCAGCACTCAATTTTAAGGGTTCCAGAGGGCCTAATAGTGTCATGAATGAGTGACTAAATCAATCTGTATATAGTGTGTCAGTCACAATCAACCCTACAGTATAGCCCTATTATTCGTACTTCTTATAGTAACACGGTTTATTAATATACAGATTCTAATATGGCGGATTTGAAACATTATTATCATTATTGTGATTTTTAGAATAGCCTGTATACATATATATATAGATAGATAGCCATAGATAGATATCGATAGCCATAGATAGATATAGATATAGATCAGGGGTTTCCAACTTAACGTGAGGCCGGGAGCCGCAATTAAAAAACCAGTCAAATGACGGGCCGCAACTTTATCAAAATTTTATATAGGACTCATTTTATGTTTGAAAGAACATTAAATATGACTGTCAGATTTTTATCTAAGTATTTTTAATATTAAATAACAAAATAATAAGCATTACAAATAATGTTTGTTACGCATCATTTTGAATCTTCTCTTAATCAAAAACTTAGNGACTCTTTTTACGTTTGAAAGAACATTAAATATGACTGTCAGATTTTTATCTAAGTATTTTTAATATTAAATAACAAAATAACAAGCATTACAAATAATGCTTGTTACGTATCATTTTGAATCTTCTCTTAATCAGAAACTTAGTGANTTGAATCTTCTCTTAATCAAAAACTTAGTGACAAGATTTTTTTCTTCTTTTAAGTTTAATTTTGTGATAAATTAAAATTTAATTAAAACAGATTTAATAGCCTATTTAAATAAAATTCAATTTTCAATCGTTCTTTTCTAAAATCTTTTATTTTCCTTCCCTTTCTCTTCCACCACTCATAAAACTTTAGTTTTTGGTTAAAGGACTGTTTGCTATTACTATTATTCAGTTTTGGAATGTTCCTCCAACTCTTCGATTTGTGACTGTTTGCAGATTCATTCAGCGACTCCCCTTTTCTTATTTCTATGAACTTGAAAAAGCTGACAAAAATAAACATAAACTATATTGTGAAGAAAATGAATTGTATGTTATTGTATGTATGTAAAAGTATGTTCAAAAATTTTCTTTGTATAGTTATAGTAAATATCAAACCATTGTAAATGTTAATATTTAGAGATAATTTTATTCGTGCTCTCTCATTTCAATCTATGTTTTAGAACTTTGAATGAGCTTTTCACTCATGCACCTTTCCCCCCCCCTCAGTGCGTACATGAGAGTTCACTGCACATTTAATTTTAAATGTTACTTTGGAAAAATATTATTTATGTTCACTCATCGTACGTGATCTTTCATATCAATTATAATTTGACTCAAAATAGACATCAACATCATCAATGGCTTGGTCTTCTCAAAAAGTTTTTTCCAAGCTATCATTTTTCCTGTTAGTGTTTTCCAGTTTTTCGTTTTTAAGACCAAAAGGTCTTTTTCTTGGCCATCTATCCATCTCAAATTCGGCCTGCCTAGACATTTAATTTGCATAAAAGAAATGAATGTTGGACGCGAGCAAAGAGAATTCTTACTGTATTTTGTGCGAATATTTTCCAACGAAGAAAAAAACTGCCATGATTTTGATCATCGGGGTTGAAAGCTTGTCATACATTTTGTCCACTCTGTAACTTTGCATCCATCCTAGAAATCTATCCAAAAAAATACTCTTTTTATATAAGTTGAAATGAAATGAACGCGATTTGAGAAATAATCTACTCAAATAATATTTAATCTCAACAAACAAATTTGTGTTTCGCAAATGATATATTTTATAAGAATTGGAAACGACTCTCTGTGAAACTTTTGGCATTTTTTAAAATCTCGATATCTTGCTGTTTTCTCTCCCTTTTTTGTAATTGTTTTATTTATTCGTATTCCTCTTAATTTTGATATCACGCGAAGCTTATAAAGCGCAAATCTTGGGAAAAAAATTTCGAATAGACAACGAAGGATAAACGGTCATTTTTAAATTACCTAAAATTGCAATAATTTTCAAACAAATAAGAATTCCGAACACGCTTGAGGCTCAAAACGGAAAATGACTCATCTGACACGTCCCATTTCAACGTTGTTGTTTCATTTCAAAGGGCTGTAGATCGACCCGCATGGTATTTTTTTTTAACTTTTAAGTTAAACTCTTAATCATTTTTGAGCTAATCACCAAATACTCCATCTTGCTCCTTGTACAGTTTTCTTCACATCTTCATGATTATACACCCAAACAAAATAACATTCAAAACAGTTTAATGTGGAGAGATATTTTGCAGACATATCTCCTTCGGATGTAATCCCTTCAGAGAGCGCACCGACAGCAGAACTCTGCACACTTCCAGAGAGGTTGCACAACACGCTGCTGTACAGAGGAAGCACCTTTATCCAACCACCAGGATATTCCACTCAGCAGCAGTCCGAAGGAAATAGGTATTTTCCGAATGGCACCCAAGTCCTTTTCAAATGCCTGTCAGCATACAGCGGTAAAAAAACAACATGGAAGATCGTCTGCCAAGATGGCGTATGGGTTGGAAGACCGCATAATTGCGGTGAGTAGAGATTCCATCCTTTTTTGGATCAACCACCCACTTTTCTAATAACTCTCTCTATAACACTATTTTGGGTACCCAATAAATATAGCGTTGTACCTACATACTTTGGGGACACAATAAGTGTTTGTTTTTAAAAATTTGAATGTTACATATGTTATAATTTTAATGTTATATATAAATTAATTTGCAGAGTTTTAATTATGGTTAAATATTAAATTAGATACATCTGCGACTTCTTAAGAGATAAGGGATGGAAGGTCTTGGGGGTGGTCTTATGTACACCAAGGAGGTAGGGTATTGAAATCTGATTACAAAAGTCATTCGCTGTGGTGAACAGAAATAAGATAAGTACATCATCAGCAGTGAGACTTCTTTTGTCAGAAAAAGACTGACAGAAAAAGGCAAAATAATAATTTTTTTACATTATTTGAAAACCAATAATAAATGAAGAAGAATAAGGTTGAAATTTGGAGAGAAAAAAAAAGTCATTTTCAGGTATTTATTGCTTCTCACACTATTGAGAAGTGGATAACATTAAATCATATGCAAGTTCGTCGGTGACATGAAACATTATTGAAATAGAGGGAGTTGCTGTTGTATCGCATATCGTGGTAGCGAGAGTTGGCTGTACCAACATTTTTCAAAGCTCCCTTTAAAAGAAAAAAAAAATTTCGTTATTATTCTAGTTTTTAAATATTTTCGTTGGGATGCACTTTTAATCATAACGATAGTTTATTAAAAATTCCGACTGGTCTATGAATTCGAAAAAAGAATGTTTTTTTTTGTTTTCAGTTTTGATGAAAGAATGCATAAAGGTTGTATAAAAACTAGTTCTTTGTATTACTTTCTTTTAATAAACCTCTCGTGAACATTGCGGCTTCCTCGTGTTCAACAATCCTAAACAGTTGTGTGAAGGAACATATTTTTCTTAAAGTCCAGCTTTCTCGTTAAATGGAAAGAGTAGTTGAAAGCTCCAAAAACGGAAAAAAAGTGTACACCGCACCCTACTTTAAGGGGATAGAAGAAAAATCCGAACTATTCGAAGCAATCATTTAAATTCTTAACTATGAAACAAAGTCCTTTGGGGGTCTTTGAAAGTGTTATCTTTATTAAACCCTGAGAAACAAAAGACCACTGAACTGTTTTTTCAGATTCCAGACCACCAGTGGATCACAATCACAACAAGTCTTGCATTTTCCGTCGACCCCATCAGGATGTGGTTGCATTCGTGCAGGACAAGAAATTGAATGTGGAGATAGGTAAATTCCCTGCAGGCACAGAACTGGTGTACAGGTGTGTGGACATCGGGAAGTTCAGTTTCGAGGGAAGCATCAGGAGAAGGTGCGTGGGTGGACAGTGGACGGGATCAGAACCCGTCTGCTCTGGACTATCGCAAGAGTACGACTATGCTCGTAAGATTTCATTTCTATGAGTATCCCTTGTGTATTATTTTTAATGCAGTCAAACCTCCGCTATAGTGAAGGTGATTTATAGTGATCTCCCGGATAGAATGAACACTCCCCTGCCTTGCTATACACATAGAATATTATTTTTTGTGGATATAGTGAACTAAAAGAAGAGAGGAAATTAGTTATTATGAATTTTTTTCTGATTTTTTTTTCGTTCTTTTTTGGTAATTTTGAAATTTTAACAAAAAATACATATACCGATTTTCAAAACCATCTATTGCGTGGGAATGTAGACATAAGCAATTTTTTCTTGTTTGCATCTGTTTCAGATCCCGAAATAAAAGACATCCTTCAATTTTCTGTAAGCAAGAGGAAGAGTCATAAAAAATAAAAACGAACACATTTTCTGTGACTACCTATTGTTTTTTAATCATTTTTGTATTTCTTTTTCCAGGTCATTTATTTAAAAAATGTATCATAAAAGGGAGCAGTTCGGAAAAATAAGTTAAAATTGTCTGCAGCAATTGTCTATAGTGAACCTAAATTTCGGTTCCTTGAATGTTCACTATAGCGGGGTTTGACTGTATTCATTATTTTTAGTGACTAATAGGGTCTGTGTTACATTTCGGTACATCGAAATGTTTTCCTCTAGATTAAGTGTAAAAACACAATACTTACAACAAATGATAATAAATATGCAATATATGCATGAAAATACCGGCAGGAGAGAAATGCGCGTTTGGCTGAGTTCAAAGGGTCATTAAAAACAATGAAAATAGATTCAAATAAGAGAGTAAGGAGTAAACTGGAGGTCATTATAAAAGACCTTAAAAAATGCTTTTCTGTCTCCCTTTATTTAAAAAGTCTGTACATCGAGTTTTATGACTCTTTTGATTTCCTGTCTTTATGAATTGACACAGCAAAAGTCTGGACATGTAAACGTTTCTTTGGATAAGCACCTTTTATCTATTTTTCACATTCCTTTTTTGTGTTACGGTGATCGACCATCACGCAAAAACATTCAAATTAAAGTTTTATAACACACTCAGGAACACAAAATGAGTAAAAAATCATTGCTTTGAGAGAAACCAACACACTTTTGATCCCTTGATTAAAAACAAAAACGGCCAATACAGACCTGACAAACTCACCAATAACGGGAAGGCATCTCTCTTTTGTTGAGGATTGGAAAATTAACACCCTGGAATCTACGTGAGAATCGCGTTAAGTAAAAAGTGGAAAAGATATGTTTTTGAGGTTTGGTAAACGGGGATAAACGGAGCAAATGATATTTCGTATTGTTTAGAGAGAGTAAGAAGAAGGAAATACGCTTGTTTTATAAACAAAATCTGATTCCTTTTCAACGTTGTTTTTCTTTTGGTATGATAAATAAATAAACAACATGATAAATATTGAATTATTAGCAATTATTAAAATATTATTCATATATTAAAATAAAGTGTTCAAAAACATTGTTAGTTAAAATTTAGTTTAACCATGTTAAATACACACAAAGCAAATAATAAATTGGAAAGTGAAAGGCAATGAGATTAAGTTAACGCTTCTTAACATTTCACCCAAATCAATATTTTTTTAAAAAAAGACAGGAATTTGAAAATTTTCATTTTTTTTTATGAATCACCAGAAATCACTGTTTTATGTATTAAAAAATGAAAACCGGTTATGATGTGCTTATTGTATATCCATCGATAAATCAGTCAATTGTTACAATAATTTATTTACAATTTTTAACTGTCATAATGGTGCGAGACTGCTGTGAAATCACTGCATAACAGAGCGCCCCCTCACGGCATACATTGGCAAATTCTTAACACTCTCCGCTGATTGGATGTTTAAATCCATCATTAGGAATTAGAAAGTTTTAAGTATATTGTAAAATAAAATGAAAAATTAACAACGATACGTGTACAAAAATATCAAATATGCATAAATGTAATTTAAACTATCATAAAGAAATTTTAACACAATACGCAGGCAAGATACAGGTTTTGCGCACTAAGTATTCTTCTCAATACTTCCCTCGAATATATCCTCCCTTTACCAACTTCCAACCTTAAAATTATTTTTGTACAACTGCCATTTGTTTTGCTCTCTCTTCCCATTTATTGAAACTTGATATCAGCCAGTTGATGTCTACTAATAAGAGAATGAACTAGTGTTCTCAGCTGACAATGGCCTTGAGTTTAAGACTCTTCTGCTAAAAGTATAATGAACTGTTCCAAAGTGACTCCTCTTATCCATTTGAAATGGAATTCTAAAGATTCGATGTTTTTAATAGGTTTTAATAGGGTTGACCTGATTTTGAAATACCGTTTCAGTTCGACGCTGACAAAATTTAGGTCATTGTCAGTGAAAACTTACAAAGTCCAGGGTGCGGAGCGCTTTTAAAAAGTGCTTAAAGGTGCTTATTTTCGATTCCTTTTCATAAATGAAGGTTGACATTTTCGCTAACTACTATCCTCCACATGGATAACCTTCGGACATGATGTGAACATGCCTACCTTGACAGAAACTCCCACTTCGAAATGAACACGCCTACTTCGATGAATGGTCCACAGTGAACAGTTGACTTGATACTTCTAGTTGCGACATTATCCACCCCCTCGTGCTGTTGCTACTCAGTCTCGATCACACACACAACGTATACACTCGATTGCTAAAGGCAGCACAGGAGCGACCACGAGCGTGATTTTAATATAGCTCTCCCGACTTCTCTGAAAACAGCAATGAATCAACTAGTGGTATCCATTCATTGAATTCTATTGCAGCTATAATTCTGATGGGGGAGTACTGTAGTGTATCTACCACTACAAAAATATAATTTCAATTTACCAGTATATAAGACACGTTAATTCGATGCTATGGTGGGGTACCTTTACATTGATGACAGGGTCGATAAACATTAAATTTTTGAGAGTGCATTAAAAAAAAAACCAGTCTTATTGGAATGCTGATGTTTGTTTTTGTCTTCTTGACATTCTTTGGCAGTAGAAAAAGCACCGACCATCCTATTCCGCAACCAGATCGGTCAGATTGCTCAGAGCAATGACGGTAAACTGATTGTGTATCCTGGAACAGTTTTGCACCTCGAATGTCTCTGGATAAGGAAGTACGGAACTCCACACTGGGAAGTGAGCCACAAAAACAGGAAATATCCCGAAGGTATCTCTTTTTTTTGTTGTTCATTTTAATACTTTAAAACAATACTTCAGATGTTTAACTACGGACGGTAGTAGTTGAAAAAACTTATTTTATAACTATTATAGTTCACTCATCAGGAGTTGGCACTTGGCTCCACCTCCTTGAACGCAGAGTTCATTTCAGCTAGGGAGTAAGAGGAGAAATGTCTCCGCGCTTGAAATTGAAACAACCCTTCATGCTCGCCAAACGCAAACTATTACTTACTTCGCTTTATCATCTGCTACTGTACCTTTCGTGACGCTAGCTAATTTAACATATTTTGAATTTAAAAACTGCCGTTTTCCCAGCAGAATGTCCTAAAAAGGACAAACTATTCACTCAAAAGGGAGAAATAGCATCCAATTTACGAAATATTTAATGTTAAAAAAATGCAACCAAAGACTGCGATATAAATTTTTTTTGTCATAATATCGCCAAATAGAAACCCTGTTCAGGATTGTTCACATCCTTCTCCCAAAAATAGCGATTGGAAAGCACGTGATGAGGGCGGAACTAAGTGCCAACTCCTGGTGAACGAACTTGACTACTTAATTAAAAATCTAGTTAGCTATAAGTGTTCTTTTTTTTAAAAGTTTTTTTCCTGGTTTTGCTGAAAAAATACTTATTTACACTTATGTTCCAAATGGTAATTACAGTTCATAGAAAATGGAAAAACAATAAATGAGTTTTTTTTTCGAATTTTTTCTTTCATCTTTTATGCCTTTCTGGACAGCGAATATTTATTTCGAGAAATAATAGAAAATTATGAATGATTTGTTAACTTAAATGAAAAAAGTTCTTCCCCCCCCCCATCAGATTAAAAATAATAAATCGCGTTGTCACCTTCTTTCTTTCCTTACATTAAAAATAACTGCCATGAATTGTTTTTTTTATATCGCACTACTCACTGCACTACTTTATTCTAAGTAGTAGTTTATAAACTACGAAATAAAGTAATACCATTTCGTTACCGGTAACTGTCTTCAAAACACAGAGTTTCTGAAATTTAGAAAAAAAATGTATAAAAATGTAATTTCTTGGAAAACGAGGCGAAAGATGATAAATATAACGCAACTATTTGATTTCACCGAATGTTTGAATATCATTTAAACTTGTCGTGTATCGAGCCCGGATAGCCTGGTCAGTAGGGTGCTGGGCCCATGTCCGAGAGTTCGAACCCCTCCGGTCGAAGACTCCCCGTGTAGTAAAATGGTGACTGATGCACGTTGAATCTGTCGAGTCGCGAAGTCCTCCATGTTCCCATAACAAATCGATACCTCTGGGAGTACTGAATTGGAGATGGATCGTTCTCTGGTTCAAGTCTAAATTACGATTTGTGAATGTATGAATGGGTCCGCCCTATAAACGGACGTGACGTATGGGTGTGGCAGAAGTCGAATTCTTGCCCATAGATGGAGCCACTGGGAAACAAGAACAATCATACCCTTCTGCCGTAACAGGTATACGCAACAACGTGTGCATTATTCAGTAAATATGAATTAAAGATAGGTCTTTTTTTAAAGTGATACTTCTCCCTAAAAGAAATTTGCTCATTAAAACCATAATATCAATTCATCATTGTAAATTACGATTTAAAAAATTTATAATGCAAAATTCTAGGGTAGCACGAATTTGAATCTACCATTGTTTTCGCAGCTGCAACCATTCCCCGCCCCACAAACTTCTGCAAGCAACATCATTATTTACTAAATATGTAAAAATAAAATTCAAGTGTATCGAAAGAGCTTAAAAACCAAAAGTGTCATGACACATTGTATAGCAAACAACCACGTGGCACTTCTTTTAGTGTGACTCATCTACTTTGATGTTTACTAACACCAATACGCGTGACAACAAAAAGGGGGGGGAAACTCAGGAAATAGTTAATTTTAGAGCATGAATTTTAAAATGCTCAAGATTTCTTGAAATAAATTTATCAAACTATCACAGAAAGAATTCGAAAGATGCTTAATAGAACGCTTATTGAGTAGAATTGGCAGATTCATGTGAATCATCCTTAGAACACAGCCTTTTGTTTCTGTGGAATAACGTGGCAGTCTGAGGATTTCCAAATTCATGAATCGAGCGTGTGAGTTCGGTTGTTTACATTTAAATGCGATTCCATGAGAATCACGAGTTCATTGACACTATTTTTCGACAACGAATTTGGAGAGGTCCATACCTCTAACTTAAGACATGAAAATGAATACTAAAATAAATAGAAATAATAAAAAAAATTCTATACGGAAGGTTGGACTAAACAGGCTAAACTTTTTCTTCGTATATTTAAAGAACAATTAGAGTAAGTTAAGGGTGGAATTTAGTTGAGAACTACTTTAGATTAGTTTTAAGTAGTCATCTATAGTTATCGATGATCATAAGGATGGACAACACTTATAAGTGCTAAACTGATATCTATTTTAAGTACATTTTGTTCCAATGAATAAACTTGACTATTGAATAACGAGTCAGAAAAAATAATTTAGTATATTTCTAACTCAAATCAATTCACTTTATTTTTCAAATTAAAAAAAAAAATATTTAAAAAGCAATTTTGATTGTTTAAATTCAACTTTGGAATTTTACCTACTTAGAATGAAAAATTGAATGGGTAAAGAAATTTATTTTTATCTATGAAAAACATACATTTCTACACGATTCCATGAAAACACACTGTATCCATTTTTATTTTCTATTTCAGAAACTTTTTTTTTGTCTAATAACGCTTGTTGCCCCTCCTTCAGTTGAGTAAAAAAAGTATTCAACATAGCCAATGACAGATTGTATCCAAAATCAGAAACAATTTTCGAATTTTTTCTAATTTTCTTTTTTTTTTATAGCTTCAACCTCATCCTTTATAAATACGAATATTCCAATTTGCGATATTTTTTAAAGTTTATTTATTCATTTCAGAAAATTGATGTGAAGGGGTGGTTTTTTATATTTCATTTTATATCCGTCGTTGAAGCAGAGCCAATTTTGATTTTACGACGACTTGATTTTACGTTTCACTGCCCAGCCTTGTCATTTTGAACCCAATCCAGAAGACAAGGAAACTCCTGGATCAGCACCCCCCCCCCAGAGGTATTGGTTTGTTGTGGGAACATGGAGGACTTTGTGACACGATAGATTTAAAGTGTATCAGTCACCATTTACTTTACGGGGAGTCTTCAGCCGGCGGGGATCGAACCCACGAACTCTTGGACAGGGGCTCAGCGCCCTACTCACCTGGCTATCCCTGACATTGAGGGGGTGGTTTGAAAAATTCACGTCGAAAGACAAATCATGAGAAAGAAATGAAAGATACTCTTTTTTTCAAAAAGAATGTCAAACAGCTTATAATTGCCGTAACAACACCCATGATTTTCAAACTGTTTAATAGGCTTTTTTTTAATAAGTGAAACCGAAAAGGAGCCATTGAAAAAAAAATTATTTAATGAACTACTGTTAATTGTCAACCAGTTTAATAAAATCTAGTTTTACAAGTCTATAAAAAAAATGTAAAATAATGTCGAATTCTATGAATACTAGTAAATTAACAAATAATAGAATAAGCATTTGCACTACTCACAAATGTATTTTGAATTCACAATTACGAACAGCGTGTAAAGTTTTCCGAATCAAATGCTGTTGAATATGAATACTCATTCGGACTCTAAAATAATAGGGTATATAGATTTTTAAAATTCTGTATAACTCTATTTTTTTCATGTAGATGCGAAAGTTTTTTAAATTTTTGGTTTTGGTATTACACTAGATTTAATTTGTTTAAATTGAAGTAATGCTTTTCAACATATTTATGGCCCATTTTTTGTATTCTCCATTTTTTCCTGTTTCTTCCTCTTTTTTTTCCAGTTTCTCCCAGTACCCTGGAAGAAAAAGGAAATTCTGATTTAAAATTCTCTCTGTCGAATATCATGCATTTTTTAGCAACACTATTCATTAACACTAGATTGTCATTTTGACTGCTTTTTAATTTCAATTAGAAAAACAATGATGGCACAATTTCTTAGAATTTGGCACAACATATAATTGTTTTTATTGTTAATATTTACTAATAACTTGTTATATAACTGTAAATAATATGAAAGATTAATTTAAAACAAATTTCTTTATACATTAGTTATTCTTTCACAACGTATGAGTGGACAATATAGGTATTCTAGTGTAATGGATGGAATTATTTTGTGTAGGTTGGACGAGCGAACCAGGAAGAGATTCACAACTTGAATACAGATTAACCATCTACCATGCTATGACAGAAGATTCGGGACTGTTCACTTGTGTCTCACCCACGGGTCACAGACATGCAGTAGAAATTGTTGTGTCCGGTTAGTATACCATATGTCATAATCTACCTTAACACCAAAAATGGTGGCAACATTTTAACATCAAATGTGCCGCAGTGAAATAATTTTTCGTGTAAACAAACGCAGTTCTTTGTGTCGTGAAGCACCACGATTTTTCTTTACATTATTTTTTGCGAAAATGAGTTGACTGAGCCCCCCGCGATGGCTCAGGGGATAGAGCGCTTGCCTTCCAATGAGGCAAACCGGGTTCGAACCCCAGTCGTTACGAATTCCGCATCCGGCTTGCATCGTCAAAAGTGCTGACGTGAAATATCCTCAGTGGTAGACGGATCATGAGTCCTTTTGCTGTCAGGCTAACCGTGGGAGGTTCTCGTGGTCTTGCTCTCCATGTAGCGCAAATGCGGGTTAGCTCCATCAAAAAGTCTTCCACGAAGGTAAATTTCAGCTAATACTCGTTCCAGGAGTTCCCTTGTCTTCTGGATTGGGTTCAAAATGGCAAAGAGTTGAACATTAGTAGTCGTAAACCCACAAAATTGGGTTCAACGACGTTTATGAAAAAATAAAATTTAGTTGACTCATTTTTGGTGTTCAATAATACTTTTCAATACATTTTGGTTATAATAATAAAATCTGATACACTATAGAATCGGTAAAATTATTTTAACAATGCAAATAAAAGCAACACATAAACATTAACATTTTTAACATAAAATTTGTTTGTAAATCAAACATACTCATAGCAATATGAATTAAGACGAATCAGTATTGGGGGAAACAATACACTAAAAAGCCTGCTAAAAAGAAGGATTTTGTTATCAATTTTGCAATAATAGTGATTAACTTAACTAAATGTATTTTTTAAATTTATTTTACATATTTTAATCTTTATTTTATCACGCTACTCATACAAACATTTAAGCATTTATAGGATACGATGTTTATAAATGTTTTTTTTATACGAGGCGCATCCAGAAAGTAAGTTACCCTAATTTAAAAAAAAAATAACTCACACTTTCAGAATCATATATATTGGCAACAAGTACAACAATGTTTAAGCTGTTTTTCAACATAACCACCAGAATTAATACACTTGTCGTATCATGGGATAAATTTTTGCATCCTTCTGTCGTAGGACTCTGCCGCCTGTGAATGGAACCAGCATGTGACAGACGTCTACCGTTACTGTGAAACACTGCGGAAATTGTGACTTGCCATTCAAAACAAGAGTCGTGGAATGTTTACTGCAGGTGTTGCGCTCCTTCATGACAATGCTTGTCCACATACGGCATGATGCATAGCAGCTGTTTTGACAGANTACCCTAATTTGTTAAAAGAAAATAACTCACACTTTCAGAATTATATTTATTGGCAACAAGTACAGCAATGTTTAAGCTGTTTTTCAACATAACCACCACCAGAATTAATACACTTGTCGTATCATGGGATCAACTTTTGCATCCTTCTGTCATAGAACTCTGCCGCCTGTGAATGGAACCAGCATGTGACAGACGTTTACCGTTACTGTGAAACACTGCGGAAATTGTGACTTGCCATTCAAAACAAAAGTCGCGGAATGCTTACTGCAGGTGTTGCGCTCCTCCATGACAATGCTTGTCCACATACGGCATGATGCATAGCAGCTGTTTTGACAGAATTTGACTGGGAATTGTTTGATCATCCACCCTACAGCCCTGATATTGCTCCCAATGATTCTGACGTTTTCTTGCACATCAAGCAACCCCTGTCCTCCGGTGAGCGTTTTGGCAACGACGAAGAACTGAAGACGTCTGTCACACGTTGGTTCCATTCACAGGCGGCAGAGTTCTACGACAGAGGGATACAAAAGTTGATCACACGATACGACAAGTGTCTCAATTCTGGTGGTGGCTATGTTGAAAAATAGCTGAAACATTGCTGTACTTGTTGCCGCTAAATATGTTCCTGAAAGTGTGAGGTCGTTTTTTTTTTTAATGAATTAGGGAAACTTACTTTCTATATGCGCCTCGTATTATCCATAACTTCCTGTACTGACGAGTTGTAAAAAAAAAAATCTCCAAATTTGATTCTATTTTGATTTTTCTGAACTATATGAATATATTTTTCATTGCAAATAGGATTTTTAAAATAGGATTTTTTTAATCGCGAAATGGCGGTGTTTTAAAAAAAATGACAGAAAATAAGTAACATTTTGGTGGATTACTCAAAACTAATCAACTCAATCCTTACGTTCAAAAAAAATTATGTTTATTGTAAGCATGAAGTCAAAATTTAATGTAAATTGGTTAAAATTGTACTAATTAGAGCAATTAAGAGAAACATATAAATCTGAGTTTAAAACTTTGTGATCAAGCTATCCTTTTAAGCATATTTTTTTTCCTGCATTTATTTCTAATTGTTCCATAACTATCAATATCAACCTGCATCGGAAATTATTGCAGCTAAATAAGGAACTATTTATATTGAAAATACCAACAGATCTTTTTCTTACAAAATTAAAAGAAATTATTTAAATAATAAACTTCAAATACTTACAATATTTTAATCGGACTAAACAAATCCATAAATCAACTGACCGCACAAGTTCAGATGATTATACATGTTCTGCCTAGAGTGCTGTAATTTTTACATTTAAACGAAAACTAATTCAACATTTTGATATAATATTCTTAAAAGAGTAAATTATCGAAAAATGCAATAAATATTTTTGTTCTTTTTTGGAACGTTTTTCCGTGTTGTGTTCCTCCTTCAATAGAACATGAAATTAATAAAATTGACAGATATTTAACAAATTATTATCAGAACTAAGAACATTTTGAAACATATTATTCTGCCGATATTTAGCAGGACAACAACGATTTCTCGCCATTACGATTGGAATCAATATCCAAAGTAATTGTTTTTTAAAGCAAAAATAATTCACAAATAGTGTGAGTGCGCGTGAACTTGTGTGCATTCAACATTATTTTAACTACTCACTTTAAATAGTTTGAATTTTAACTACTCTCTCGATTTGACGTATTAACACTAGATTGCCCAAGGAAGTCATTTTGACCGCTTTTTAATTTCAATTGGAAAAACAATGATATATATAGTGACACAATTTCTTAGAATTTTGTGACTTTTTGTACACATCATTTTTTTTATTGTTAATATTTACTTATAACTTGTTATATAACTGTAAATATAAAAAAAATGCTAAACTAATTTTAAACAAGTTTCTTTACACATTATTCTTTCACAACCCTGTAATTTTGACTGCTTTTGGCCAATACAGAGATATGTTCTAAGTTTCAGTCTAGTGTTGTACACACTGGAACGACTGAAACTTATAAAATTTTCATTTGTTCCTTTTATACAATTTTTTGGTAATACCAAAGAGATATTACAACATGGTTTTTCTACTGTAGAAGAACTGATTTAAAAAAGAATCTTTTTTAAGGTATAAATAACAGAAAAGGTATATATTAATTATAAAATAAGAAATTTACATCGACTTTTGTTTTAATATGAAAACAATTGTTTTCCACGCATGCGCAGTACAAAAGTACCTTAAACCTACTCATATCTTGCATAGTTTTAAGCGAACTTTTTTCAAGTTTCAAAAAACTTTTTTGCATTTAGTTTTAAATTGCTCTAAAAAGTTTGTCTAATTTTACCAAATAACTTTAAAATTATAATAAAAAACATAAGACAAAAAAAATGGGTTTTTTTTTATAAAAATGTCTGTCTCCATAAATATTTCTGCTAGGCTTATGAAATTTTATGCAGCAATTGCAAATAAAAAATAAAGTAATTTACAAGTTACAAGCTTATTGCTTGATTTTCTGGCATTGGGTGTTGAAAAATGCTTGTTTTCTTTCCTTATCTATTGTTGTTCCTTCAAGCCTCTGAAAGCTTTAAACCTTATTGCTTAATTTGTAAAAGCGCATGAACTTTCAAGTTTAAAAAAATCATCTGTGTATTTCTTTATACATATGTATATATATATCCCTGAGGTTGATCCGAAGACATGCCATCACAAATTTAATCCTCTGATGAGGGGATGGCATCCCCACTTCGGTAGCCCGATGACTTGCACACGAAGTCGAGCACTTTACGGTTGAACTGTTTAACGATACCGCACACCCTCGGTCCCTACTCAGACTGATCCAAGTGGTCACCCACCCGCACACTGACCGCAGCCTGTGATGCTTGACTTCGGTGATTTGCTGGGAACCGTGTCTTAACGATCAGTCTATTGCGGGACTTACGACTACTAATGTTGAACTCCTCAGACTTGTCATTTTGAAATAAGCCAGAAGACAAGGGAACTCCTGGATCAGTTTCCCCATGGGTATTGATTTGTTATGGGAACATGGAGGACTTTGTGACTCGACAGATTTTACGTGCATCAGTCACGGGTATTACTACACGAGGAGTCTTCGGCTGGCGGAGAAGAACCCACGAACTCTTGGACGTGGACCCACCACTGACCTTCTCTGTGTATTTCTTGAGAAATTGTCTCTTCCTCTCTGTGCGCTAATATGTGATTTTTGGAGCATGGGTCATAGGTTTGGGACTGCTGAACTAGAATGCCTGAAAAATTTCTTATAACCCTATAATTAACAGGAATCAATTCAGAAAATTCGCCTTTTTTTTAATCCGTAAACAAATGTAGTGAAAAAAAAATAATTTTTATGTTTTTTAGCTGTCCATTGTCCTGTGGTCATGGAAGTAGGTGGTCTGAGACTTAGTACAGGAGTCACCAAAATGAATGTCAAAGTGGTCTTCTCTTGTGAAGAGGGCAGAAAATTGAAAGGATTCGAACAAGCTACTTGCTTGCCTTCAGGCCAGTGGTCTGCAAAACATCCCACATGCCAAAGTAAGCAATTAGGGAAATACAATTTTATGAAATAAGCATAAAAAATAAATTTTTTATTTTAGTTCTCTCATTCATATGAACTCCAAATCGGTACCTTTGATCATTGGCCATTTCTTTGCAATACTTTTTTATAATTCTTCCTCTTGAAAACTATAGGTACAAAACGGTATATAAAAAACTTATTTTAAAATCGGCATCACACGTGCAATTTGATAGCGAGGCTCATAAAAATATTATGAATTTCAAGTGATTCTTGAAGTACTACGTGAGCATATAATTTGGAACTGTTAGACTTCCCCCTTTTAAGAAAATAGAAAGGAAATTACAAACCTCCTATCATGCTTATGTAAGAACGCAACACCTTCTTTAATTCTGATTTTTACAGCAATAATCTGATGTAAATATGAAAAAAAATGCAACTTTGCAAAGAAAGTTACAAAATTTATTTTGTGAAAAAAATTATTTTATAAAATTTTAAAACTTGTTGAGTTCAATTTTTCCCGACTTCTTTTTCTTCCAAATTTACTTTAATACCAAAATTAAAAGTTTTTCTGACGTAGTTTTTTTATTTTTTAAAATTTTGATACATTTATCTTACATTTTAAGATTAAAAATAAGGAACAATAGTATCTGACGTAACCTCATAACCGACCCCTCATTGTCAACAAAATGAACAAATCACTTTACCTTTGAGTGTTTGCGTAATATTTGAACAGCCCCTAAGTAAAAAAAAGTTATTTGCCATAAATAAAAAAAGAAAACACTTAATGAAACAATTTAATATAGAATCCTAATTAAAGAGATTTTGGAAAAATATTATGGTTTTACCCTAATTTACTGCTGTCGATATTTGAACTTGACAGCTCTTGACAAGAAAATTTCTCTACCCATTGCAGTATCATCTAAGAGTAGAAAAATAAGGTTGAGTTAAAACAAAGGCTACGCAAAATCTCCCTATTATTGATTTTGAGTTTAAAGTTATTTTCACATACCTTACGTTATAGGCAAGGACAGTAGCTAGCAACAGTAGATTAGAGACTTTCAGAAGAAATGGGGCCAATATAAAAACTTTCTAAAAGTGATTACTACCAACACTTAATCTATATCTATTTCTACCATAGCCGCTCAAATGACCAGATTTTATGTTTCATGGTTGGATGTATGAAATATGGATATTAGGAAGGAAATAAACTTAAATAAACTTCATTATAACGAAACAAAATTGCATATTGCCATTTTTTATGTATTACAAACACAAAGAATAAGAATTTTTTATTCATCACTCAACGCATTTTTTACATATACAGGGTACATTGTACATTTTCCGCAAACTTATTTATTCTAATTGTTATTATTTCTATAATTCTTATAATTATAATTATTCTTATCATTAATAATTATTTCTACTAAGAACTTGTGCTGTCTTGATTGTTTCGACATTTTTCTGGGTTTCTAACCGTTAGTTAGAAATGAAGTAAAGCCATCAAAATAGAATATAAGCTACTGATTAAAACATATAGTTCTTGTCTCTTTTTCTGACACAAAAATACCAATCTTAAATGTTAGGTAACTGCTTGAAATTTGAATTCACAGTTATTCTGATTGAACTCCACACGCAACAGTCTCTGCAGAAATGTTCAACTCATCGAATGCTATACGTTGAACACGCATTTCTGATGCGATAACCTTCTAAAGCAATAAATTGTTCTCCCGGTCCAATGACAGCTTGTGGTAGAAATCTGTATACGACACGTATTATTCGAAGAAAACAAAATACAAAAATAATAGAATATTAACATTATATAATTGTTAGAAAAAGCGATAAGCGCATTTTCGAAGCTCTTACACGATCATTTGATCGGCTATGGTATGTTTGGTGTTAAATGAACGTTGCTAAAAACATTTCATTCTTGTGATTTCAGAAGTACCATTGTGTCCTTATCCTGGAACCACAAAAGGGGTCACCATATCCAATGTTAAATTCTACTACCAAATATCAGAAACTGTTATCTTTGGTTGTAAAGAAGGTTACAAGATCCAGGGTCGAACTGTTCTGCAGTGCATGGATGTAGGCAGGTGGTCTGGATCCGTGCCTACCTGCCACCCCCTCAAGAAAGGATAATTCATGTTCAAGTTAAATGTTCAAAATATTGTAACAGACGGGCCCAAAAACAGACATCAACATGAAAAAACTCGCACAATAAAAAACGCAGCGCAAACACATAAAATGTTATTCTGAGACCAAAGTTTTTTCTATTTCTATTGCGCGCTCGTGGATTGTGTTGTTAGATCTCAATTTAGAATGGGTCGCGTTTCACACTAAAATGACGGGGTCGCTGAAATGAAGACAAACAGAAAGAAAAATCGTTCTTCTTCGAATCATTAAAATAAGTTATTTGTTCGATTTATATATTAATGCTTATGCACTGTTGAAATTTTCATTCTAAAATATGGTAAAATAACTGGTCTGTCCATTGATTAACAGTACAATTTACGGTAAAAAACATTTTGTTTCCTTTATGGTTTTGAAACCATTTTAAAAAAGTATGGTTATAAAACCATGAATACAAAACTATAAGGTTTTTTAACCATTTACAACTAGCATTTTTCAAAAACGTAAAAAAGAACTAATTATTTAACTAGACATAGGAGGTCGGCTTTTCGTAAGTTAATGGACATAGGAGAGTGCCATAGGCTGGAACTTCTTCATGTGTTGAAGGGAGGAATTAGTGTAGTGTCAACACTAGGACTCGAACTCCAGTTCTGTCGGTCATGAGATTGACAGATAGGCTATGATGTGCAGGCATTCGCGAAGAACTAAGAAGCTTCATGGGGTGATTATAGATGGTGAGATAAAATTCTAGCTGTTTAACCGTATTAGGTGAAAGCAGTTGATAAACAGTTTTTCTCAAACCTCAGAGTCTGATTACCTTTTCTTATGGTTATTTGACTGTTTTGATTAAATACTGTAAAATAACCATTCAATAAATTGTTATTTAACCATTTTTCCGAGAAATTTCTAACAGTGTGGTAACTGAAATTATGAAAAAAAAAGTGAGGAGTGATTTCCATTAAATTTGTCTCCAAAATTCATATAACTTATCTAAGTGATTAAAGTGGGATGGAACGAAATAAACTATTGTGTTAGTCCACAGTCTTGGACAACTAACATTCATAGTTAAGCAAGATTTTTAAAATTGATCAGAACATCACACAATATTATTAATCTCTCCCACTGTAGAATTATCACGCCATGTAAACGTAGGAAATAGGATTAAATTCACGTATGGCATCTGTTAAAACACGAACTAAAACATAATTGAAACACAACTCTCTTTGAAAAAACTACCAATACTAATGTTAAAAACTTTTTAATAATCTTAAACATAACAGTTCTACCAAATAATAAACATCATACTCAAGATCAAACCAAAATACTGAAATACATCGGTGGCGTCACTAGATCACTTAAAAAAAATACAATAAAGAAGGCGCAACTAGATCACCCATCGTTTCGTAATTTATTATCGTTTTCAAATTCCAGATGAATAAATGTTCTAATTCATCGCGTTTAACAGCATCCTTATTTGAACAGAATGTCTCAAATTGAACAGAAGGGATTTTTTTACAGGGTATCTGCGCACCTGGAAAGTCATGGACTTCGGTTATTGAACAAAATTTGTCATGAAATGTCATTGTTTTAACCATTTAAAAAAAAAAAAAATCATGGAAAAATCATGGACCGAAAAATCTAATTTTTAAAATGGAATTTACCCCCTCCCCTCCCAATTTCAGTGTTCTGAATATCTGAATTTCCAACAAAATCCCCACTCACAGTCATATTTTATTAAAATATAAAATGCTTTTATCATGTTCTTTAAAAATTATCGTGTTCTTTCAAAAAAATGAACGAACATCATTTCTAGAGTGAATTATGTTTTAAATTTATGTTTTCAACTTCCGTGATTTCAGAATTACTTTATTATTTTTATTTTATCAATTTAAAATTCTAGTTTAGGCTTTTTATATTACACTTACTTTTAAGAAGAATTATAACAACTTTAAATAACTAAATTTATCTGACTGTGTTAAGTTATTCTCTTTTGTATTTTTTTTCCAGCTAGTTTATTACTTCAACTCTTTCTTTACTTTGTTTTTTAAGTTTGAAATCCATATATATGAAGATGCAGAGTATAACAGTTTTGGTTAACATTTCCATGAATGTTACGTATAATGCTTTTTTAAATTTAGTGTTGTTTTTGACAGAGAAAATAGTCACATCGTTAAGTCAGGAAAAATACTTGGAATGAGTCAAGGATTTGAATATCTAAATTGTAACAGATCTTTATTAGCAACATGGCAAAATGTCTCTAAAAATACATTTAGAAAATGCAATTCATATTTTAACAGAAAATGGTGTTAAATGGAATTTTTGAAGTTAAAAATGAATATTTATAATTGGAATGCCAATCTAAGCAACCCATAAATAAATTGAGATGACATTCATATCTGTTTCATGATGTTGTAACATGAGATTACATCGATACATCTTATTATGAGAAGCTTTATATCAAAAATCATATCGATATTTGTAGTTTTGTGTAGAGAAGTTTTGAAATAAATAGAAATCTTCTATTTTGTCATTTAAAAAGATCTATTTCAGAAGGAAAGAAAAAATTGTTTCATTGGTGATGTATACGTAAATGGAAATAAAATATTAAGCATATTCACTTTTCTTTTCTTATTGTGCCAAATAAAATCACTCAATTATGTGACACTATGAACTCGGACATTTATCTATCGATTGTCAACACTATTGTTATAATTCATTTTGTTCGGTAGTGTTAAGTACTAAATTAAATTAGTAAAAAAATTAGTTCTCCTTTTACTTATTTCGATTTTTTTTTGGAATTCTCATAGAAATAAAAGCTTAGTTACAAAGTAATTAAACTAAACTCGGTGGCGCGACAGTCCATAGAGGGCCTATTGTGCCCATCTCAGTTTTCTTGACCTTTGGGCTCTGGCAAGGTCCGGTTGGATGGTCAACCCAACGCGGAACCCCCAGTGTTAAGTCTCAAGTATGCTTGGTACTCATTTTATCGACCCACTGAAGAGATGAAAGGGCGAGGATCGAAACGACAGTGTTCAGCCATCGGGTGTTCACGAAGTAATTATGTAGATTTATTTTTGATCCTTTCTAAAAAAGCGGTATAAATTTCCCACTTCGCTTGGATGGATGGTCAACAGTTGACTTGTGACTGCGAAATTGTCGTTCCTCACGCTGTTGCTACTCAGTATCCATTACATACAACGTATACACTCGACTGCTAACAGGAACGACCGTAAACTTAATACAGCTCTCACTATGGTTGGGTACCCTTTTCATAGAAGAAGGTTGACATTGTCGATAACAACTATCTCCACAAAACCCAGAATGCACCGACCACTACAAACGTCTGCCCCGATCCAAAATGTGTGTTTTTAAAATGATTAATTATTCTTCCTTTAATAAAAAAAAAACTACTATTTGTGCAATGCAAAAACCTTAATTTTTTTTTAAAACACGAAAGAAAAAACCATAAAATGTCGACAATTTTGAAGAAAAACAGACCATTATTTGAATCGAGGGGTTTAAAAAGAAAACGCACATAAGCTTCCTTTAAACCAGTGATTCTCAACCTCTTTTTGTTGCGGCACACTTTTAACGATTTCGAAATTTGACGGCACACAATGAGAAAAATTAGTTTAAATGTTGTTTACTTAACTATAATACACTGTGTTAAATAGTTTGTGATAATAATTTTGAATTTGAAATAAAATTATATGTACTACAACAGCACGTTTATTAAGGGATTAATTATTTCTATTTGACTAATTTTTCATTAGTTAGTAACAATTATTTTATTTTTTTGCCAGTTATCAATAGTTAGCTTGTTTTCTATAGCTATTAACTGTTAGTTTTTTTACATTCATCATTTTTTGTGATTTCTTGTTAATTAGTTTTTTTGCTAATTATTTATTGTTAGCTTATTTTTTTTGTTAGTTATCCTTTGTTAATTTTTTTATAACTATTAATTGCATAGCTTACTTTAATGATTAGCTTTTATTTCTGTTTGAAAGTTAATATTTAGCTTGCTGTAGCCTTTGTTAATTAATAATTTTAATAGTCATTAAATTTCCGACATTTTTAAAAATTGTGTGTCAAAGACAATTGAACCACTTCCTTCTTATTTTAACATATTTTAAGATAGTCAGAGACAAGATAATCGCCGACAAAGATGTTCATGCTGTTAAAGCGTGGAAAAATTATAAAAAGTATACATATATGTAAAATATTACATACACTTTTCTTTTATTTAAACTTTACTCGTAATAAAAAAAAAGCATTATAATTTTAATTTATAATTTCTAATATTCGGCGGCACACAAAAGTGCCGCGGCACAGTAGTTGAGAATCACTGCTTTAAACATTCATTTCAACATATTCATTTCCTAAGCACTTCAACGAGCTAAACACGATAATCATTTTCAAATTCAACGCTTATTTTGTTTTCATTTAATAAATTCACTCTTCTCATTATTATTTCATTGAAAATGATTTCTTAATAAAAAATATGAGGATGTCAAAGATGAAAATTAAGGAAACCTTTAAAATTTCCCTTTTTTTTTAAAATTTCTCAATTAAGATTTTTTTTCTTTCAAAAAATGAATAAATCTATGTATTTTCTTCTTATTTCAAAACATATTAAAGTATAAGCTCATCGTTAGCATTTTAAAACGACAAATAATTAAGCAATTTATTCTACTCTAAATTGTTTTTCGGCATTTTTCTACCGAAGGCAATGATTTGAATTTCGCTGCTTATTCCGAAATTTACACGTACAACGTAGAAATTGCGCAACAAGCATTTTTTTCTGTCTATTTAATTGTGCCGTTCATGGTTTAAATTCAGCTTTTCAGTGATGCTCAATTGTTTGTTCAGATCTAGGTGAATAGATGGCGTCCCTGTTTCTGCGAAATATACAATCATGTTCTGTAGCATTTTAAGCGCTCTTTTCAAAAAAGCTCAAAAATGTCTGTCAGGCACCGCTTGGCAAAATGGTAGGATTTTGGCATGTTTATCCTACAAAACTTAATTTCTAATAAATATATATTGCATGTTTTCATTACCTTTTGTCTTTCTTATTAAATAAATCATAATTTAAACACAATTGATATTCAAAATTTTGCTTTTATAGGATGAATTTTCAATTTAAATTTTTGAAATCTAATTCTATCTTAAAATGTTAAAACAAAAACTACGATAAATTTTTTTTGTATTTTTTAACTTTTAAGTATATGTAGATTTGAAATGTATAGTATATGTAGATATATAGTAATGTATACAGTATATGCAGGTTTGTGTTAAGCAGCGAGAACTGTTTGGGTTGAACCAGGAATTATCGAAATTTCATTCCCGGCAATGTTTCTTCCACCCTTTGTAACTTGGCTGTTTAAATCGATGGGAAAGTGAATATTTTTTCTTTATTGGGGGGGGGGAATCTCTTTCAATACTGCATATTTTTTTTTAAATAATGAGGAAATAATAGGCATTATTGTAGAATTTATGTATGTATGTCTAAAATTTTGTAGCAAAATATATTTATATACTGAATATTAAAAGTTGTTCAAATATTATTATAAGCAGTGAATGAAAGATTACGGATGAGGGGAAGGGTTGGTTGGGGGAGGAAAGACATCCGATTTAAAATCCGATTCATTTATTTAAAAAAAAAAAGGAAAATATAAATGTAAAAAAAATTAGGCTGGAAAGAATTTCGGACTGTGCTCTGTCCATCCTAGGATTTTCCAACCTGAAGGTGGGGTAGGGGGTCGTAACAATAGATATGATCCATCAATGTGTCAAAGGGAAAAATGTATTGTTATGAATAAATCTTTGAAGTGGGGACTCTTAAATTTTAACAAATGTCCATCGCCAAACATTTGGCGATGGGCATTTGTAACATCTCTTCAGCAACCCCTAAAGATTGTACTACCACGTGTTGTCAATAGAGAATTTTTAGCAATCAAGATGGAGATATGTGATTATCAATTGTTAGATAATCGTTTTTCATTTATCATAAACATACCAATCTAATCAATATGTGGGATTTTTAACAAAATTTATTTAGAAGTTATTTTATGCTTGCAGTCAATGTTCATTTTTTTTACGAAAGTGCACGTTTAGTAAAAAATACAAAATCTAAAAAAAGTTCATTTACAAAATAATTGTTTAGTAGAAATTTTAAATTTCCTGATATTCCAGATTTTAAGCTAAACAAAACTGTTGTGATTTTTCCTAACTTTTTGCATTTTTCTTTGATATTTATGAATTTTGTGCACGTTCAGATGAACACTATAATCTACCAAAGTAAACAAGGATTTTAAATATAATTGATTTGGAATCGAAGAACAGAAAAATAAAGATTTTCAATTCAACGTCTTTTTATTTCAATTAATAATGAAAATTTCATCGTTTAATTAAAAATTTTACACGTT